GCAGTGTAGTGACTGTGGTCAAACATGGTAGCTAATCTGTACCAGCAACTTTCCACACAGAACAGTGAGATAAGTGACCAATTCGTTCACATACTTTGGTGATTTGATGTATATAATCTTTGAGCGCCAGTTGGACACAGGGAGAATTCCCTTCTTTTAGCAAATAACGCCACGGGATTTTAAACATCCACCAGACCAGGCATTAGCTCATTGTAACATCTTGTCCAAAGAACACACAGCAATGCAGCACCATGGAGGAGAAACAAGTTGCAGAAACTGGGATATTGCATTGGTGCAATGGGGGATGTGCTATATGGTGACATGTTGAAGCAGAGTAGAAGTAGCTTTACTGTCTGTCCTCTGCCTAAATTGCGTACAAGCCATCAGGAAACATTCTATGTACAGCACTGTGACATCTGTGCTAACAAATGCATTCAATGTTGATACATTTACATGAATAAATTCCATATTGGTAAATTAAGACTGATTCAGCGGACCTGATGATTCCAAGGTTTATTCCAGCTCAATTACAAATAAGCAGAACTATTTGTTGCACTGACAAACACACAGATAATCTGGCATTGTCAGAATTGCTTAATAACTATTGTAACTATTTCTCTCCTATTCCAGATTATTGTATATTTCCAAGATAATATTTAAACTCACAGAACCTCCAGAAAAGGCAGTGCCTGGAATGTATAGCCTGCAATCTTCGAAATTACATTTCCAGAAAGATTCCTATTTTAAAAATAACAATAAATTTCTCAGTAATCCTTTCCATTTTATTCCATAAAGCAAACGTGAAACCCATACACTGATAATAGTGTGACTTTTGAATTCATGTGGACATTTATTTTAAACTAAAGTTTCAACTCATTCACTTCTAGAAGATCTAAATGAAACAAAGAAACAACCAACAACAACTTGCCTTTATACTTTATTTATAGGAGGGTGGGGTGGGTGGGGGGGGCAGGAAGGGTGGGCTGTCGTCCAACTGCAACCCACCCCCTCTGCGAATTTCAGACTTAAGTAACTGCCGCCCTTTAATTATAGTTCAATCACAGTATAAAACCCAATACCTGAGATAGTACAATCGCCAGATGCACAATATAAAATAGGAAACTTAAAACATACAATTAATTCACAATAATTGATTAAAAGAGACAAGTAGTGTACTTACAGTTTCTTCACTAAGATTAATCCTTCAAATGAATCTTTCTGAAGTATCGAGAGTTCGTTTTTATGGAGGTCTCTAAACAATTAAGATTTTTTTAAAAAGTAACTAATTTCTGAGAATTATAATTTTAAAAATAGCACATTTTAGAGTGTTAATTAAATTGACCAATCTTGTCCTACAGAAATTCATTGCTATGGGGCCACCAACATCTCAGAATACCACTGTATTGAATTTTAAACAATGTTATTTTTGTCCTTTTAATCACTTTGAAACAAAGACGAAGATGTGGGGATGAAGTTTATCTGTGATCATTTGGAAGGAAGACCCTTGCCAGAAGTTTCCCTCAGGAGATGGACTGGATCGATTGGAATATACGATAAGGTATGTTCATATGTTGCATGGAGTAGGAGGCATATAGGAAGAAGAGGCCATTCAGCCCACCAATGCTTTATGTGCCTTTCTTTCACTGTACCAATAAGTCACAAACCTAGAAAAAATGTAAACTATTTTATGGTACTGATACTGTGACCATTTATACACATTACTGCTGTTAGTACTTTGCTCAAAGCAGCAACTGGCTACAAATACAGTGAAGAACTTACAGGGTTTCTGTCCATCGGTAAGGTAGCCAGTTACTTTCATGGACACTACTGATGTTGTTTTCACCAAATTCCCTGTGGAGACCAAAAAAAAATCCTTGAAAGTGCTGACTGGCACATGTCACAGTTCTTCAACAGAATAGAATATAGGGGAGAAACCACCATCAACTCCTGTGCTCAATTATCAACATTCATTGTGTAAATCGTGGCTTTATTTGTTATCAAGCTAAAGTATCAGATATAGGATTAATCATGGTTAGACAAACGGTATAACCTTTAAGGAGATCGGACTGGGTGACAGTAAGACACCTGACCTATTTCCCAGAAAAGCAGAATGCAGAGATGATAGGCTACATTGCAACCATTCTCCTGTATTTGGTCTATTTTGCAAACTGTGATAAAGTGTTTCAAAGAAACATTACAGGTAAATATTTGAGTACAAACATTAAAAAAGGCAGAAGAAACAAACTGATGGAACGGAGATCATAAAACTCGTCCCTCTGTTTCTTTGCTGATTTCTTCAAAGTATTGCAGCAAATAATGTAAATAGGTCCCCAAAGCAATCACATGCTTTCGGGAAAGAGAGTTATAAGAGATACAATAAATAATCCTTACATTTGATATAGTGCCTTTCATGTCAGAAAGACATCTCAAAGCACTTCATAGAGTTTACTGTAAAATGTATTCTGTGGATGAACACAGGAGCCAATTTTTACACTTTGTCGTACAACCATGAAGTGAATGGCCAATTTTATACAATAAAGAGACATGGCATTGAGATTGACTAAAGTGGAGTTGCCTTTTGGACCAAATATCCTTTTCTTCTTCCTACAATGTCCCAAGTTTCCATGTATAGTATTTGCTAAAGAGTCACTATCTGATACAAACATTAGCTGGCTTCCTATCAATAGACCTGATTAGGTTTGCATCAATATATTGGATGAATCCAGTTACTGTTTTTGGTGATACAATTTTAACAGGGAAATGAACCAAATGTTTTCTGACTTGCACTGAATCCAATTTGTTCCAACAACAACAAAATTACATTCAAAGAGCGCCTTTCACATCGGGAGGCCGTACCAAAGTGCTGAATAGTCAGATGTCGGGGCCCGAGCATGGGGAGGGGTGGTGTAGGGCTTAGGGAAGGTAGAGGGAGACCAAAGGCATGGTCGAAAACTATTTTGAGCATAAAGTCAGCGCTCATCACACGGGCTGCTCTGGTGCTGATACATTTCCAATACACCTTCATTCTGGCATCATGCCTGCCTCAAGCTTGAATGGGATACATTTTCAAAATTCCTTGGCGAGTAGGATTTTATTAGCTCAACCGAATTATCCCCCATCCTATAAAATAACTAATTTTTAACCTGAAGAATTGATTTCAAAAGATATGTGATACATATATATATGTGTGTGTGTGTGTGCATGTTGTTACAGCAAGGAGGCAGGTCTGTGGTAGCTACAGGACAATAGCCATAACAAAACACAAGGGACCATGTCCAGGAGAGCACAGCAAAGGCTGGGACACGAGGTGACAAACACACTCAGCTCCAGGGGACATTCCAGGAGGGACCCCAACCAAGAGTGGAGCCAGAAAGTATGAAAACACGCACCACGGTGATGGAAGGTTTCGAGGATGAATAACCTTGAGACACAGAGCGTTCCTTGTCGTTGAAATAACAGGGACCTTCTGAAACCCGAAAGCAAACTATGCCCGTGAATAGTTACTGCGTAGTGCTTTATCTCCTCTGGTGACTTACAGCGTGTTGAATATGTATGCAGAGCCTCTGATGAAGGGCACGTTTGGCAGCCGGTGCCAGGCCCCCTTCCCAATGCAGGACAGCAACCAGGAGGAACAGGTGCACATCACAGGGCAGGAAGAGTTTTCCACTGCACTCGCTTCGGCCATGAGGAGACCGAACTCTAACAATCCGGGAAGCAGCAACACCACTGCAACAACATTGGCCACTGCCATAATTTACACCCTAAATGCTTGAATCCGAACGAGGGGTTACCGGGCAGTTGGTGCCCGATACCCACACCCAGCGAGGGAACGGGCTGTCCAGAGTGGAGCAGCCAGAGCTTCAGGACGGGACCGAGATGGGGAGCCTGGTTTCACGGGGAATGGGGGGGGTCTGAAAGCTTGAAGTAGAGCCCGGCAGCTCCGGAGAAGCGCCTCTGGACCCCTATGGAAACCCAGCACCTACGTGAGCAGCAGCAGCGCCTGGGAAGCGAGGCCTGAAGAGTTCCACCCAGACGCCGGGGGTGGGGGTGGTGGGGAGGGGGATGGGGGGGGGAGGGGGTGGGGAGGGGGTTAGGAGCTGAAAGGCCTCCCTGCCCTCGTGTGTGCGCGCGTGTGTGTGTAGCCCAGGAAGGAGGAGGGCCTGAGTGCTTGGGCCTCACTCCGGGGCCTCCCTGCCCGCGGCTGCTCGCACAGCCTCCACCTTGATGTCCTCGGCTGCGGTGCCCCCCCCCACCCCCGGCCCTCCCTCGCTCGCTCGCTCTCGTGAACTCCCGGCGGACTCTCAGGAGGACCCACTTTGCGCCCACCGACCGCCACAAGATGGCGGTTGCTATGGGGCCACGTTCCGCGCCCTTTGTGACGCGGCCCGGCCCTGCGCATGCGTCAGGCCGCCAGCGAATGCGCATGCGGGAGGGGGGAAGCAGGTGGCGCAGGCGCAGAGCAGAGCATCGCACCTCACCCGCCCCCCCACACTGCCTCTCCCTCCACAGCCACTCAGCCAAACCCCAGGGAAGCCTCAGAGGCTTCATCCAGACATTTCTCTTTTTTTTTTAAAATCTTAATAAAATTTTATTATTAAATGGCCAACGTGGCAAGAGGAGAGAACAACGCGCACGCGCGCACTTAACACTTTAAAATTAACAATTAAATGAAAGATCAAAACACTTTCTAATCTCAGTGCTGGGATGGGCGCTGAGTGTGTGCTGGCGGTGTCGTGGGCAGACCCAGACTGGAGCGAAGCGCACACTTTTCAATCCACGCCTTCGCTTTATAAACATTGGAATAAAAATTCCAAACTCCCAAACCATTCTTCAACTCAATCCCCCCCACCCCACCTCCCCTCCCCTCAGCTTTTGAAGCTCTGGATAGTACCAGAGTGAAATCGATGCCAGGTCTCAGCGCATCAGAACTAGGATTAATACAAATACGTGCGAAAGGATAACTTCATTTTTTTTGTCAAGATTACTGGGAGAAGCAAAAATTATTTTCCAGACTATACGTTTATCAAAAATTATATTACAAAGTAAAAATACATCTGGGAGGAACGGGTATGTCTACTTAAACAACTCTATTTTGAAATGAAAATAAATGCACTTTATCTGTAGTGGAATATCAATTCAAATCTGCAAAGGATGTAGAACTTGTAGATCCTGAAGTACCTGGAGGTCTTTCAAAATGAACTCAGACACTAATCTCATCACTTCCTTTGGCTGCAATCCAGTTGAAATTTAGATTGATGTATGAGCAGAGCTCTAGCAAGACAGACAGGTATCTGTGATTTAAAATCTTTCAGTGAATTTTGCAAATTAGGCTCTACTGCCAATCTGAGGCTGATGAACACTTGGCATTTTGTGTTTCCTCTCCAGGCCTGCTCATGAGTTGCCCTTCTCCTGTTGTCATCTTCAAGCATCTTCAGAAACACAGAACAGAACTCATGCTTCAGACCAGCCACCAGCTGATCCACAAATGCCCCAAACCAATAATCTTCCCCATAATTCATGTCTTTATTGCATCTGAGGAAAGGAAATGTGGGATGGCAGGTCTGAGCAAAGTGGTGATGGCATTTTAACAGGTGAAATATAGATTTAAAATAAATGCTCATTTATGGTGGTGCTTTCATAAAATAACATCTATTTAAGATGATTGATACGTAGTTATGGAATTGTAAATGGCAGGTTGTTGGTTCCAATGTAAAAATGTAAAATCCAGTTTTGTTTCTTTATTTTTCAATTCCTTCCATAGTTCCAGTGTCAAAACTGAAATCAGATAGATTTTCGCACTCGGACTGACTCAATGACACACTGTTCACCTGGAAAGAAAGAGGAATCTGAAGCTTTATCGAAAACTATTTCAGTGAACTGGTGGACATGACAAACGGTAACCAGGGTAATTCTGCACAACAATTCAAACCCAACTCGCTTTTCAAGGATACAGAGCTAATCAAAACTGACTTTTTTTTAAATCAATTCAACCATTTGCAATCAATTCGTCCAGCCCAACTAGCCCAAAGTACCTTTGCAGAACATTCCAGGAAATGGACTTCTGTCAATGTTATACTTGTTGCCCTGTATAGCAATGACTGTACCTGCAACTGGGTGTGAAGCTCCTCCTCTATGATGCTGTCCAGTTCCTCCAGTTCCGAACTCCGTTGCACAAACACCTTCCCATTGCCTGCAAATAGAGAGCACACCAGCTCCTGCTCAATGATTCGTGAACTATCTTCAGAATGTAATCAAATCAGTGCATCTACTGCAGATGTGTAGGGAGCAGGATATGTTGTTTCAACTCACTGAACAATTGAGCAAAGCCTCTCAGTTGCACGTGAATTAAAAATATATGGGGAACAGGTCGTGTAGTAGTATAATAACAGTAGTGGACCAGCAACCAAAAGGCCACAGGTTCAGATCCCATCATATTGTGTATTTAGAACATTTGATATTGGAGCTAGTGCTCCAACTAGTTCATGGTCTTCAGGGAAGGAAGATCTGCCATCCTTATCCAGTCTGGCCTACAGGTGACTCTATTTCCCTTCTAACACGGTTCACTCTGAAAAGGTCCAGTTGTAAAACAGAAATCACTCCTGAACATGAAACATAAAGACACACCTTTCACAAAGGTGACATCTCAGCCATCTCTGGACACGAGGAAAATTTAGCATGTCAACATGATGCTCAGGAGTTGAGCTGCGGTGTGTCTTGGGCATTTGTAAAAGGAACTAAACCACCAACTCTAGCTCTTACCTAATTCCAGTGCCTTTGTTTGGGAGCATGTCAATTTGTTACAGAAAAAAAAGCCTGTTGCATTTCCTGCACTCAATAATCTGATAAACCACAACCTTACCAAGAACTACCAGGAGTATCTTCTGGAATGCATCTGACATAGCTTTCTGTGTAGCAGATTTCTGAGCTCGTCCCACTTTCAGCACGTAATTCAGTGGATCTAAATAAAAACAAAAAACACATCTTCAGTAAGCGTTACCTGGGATTGGCATTGAGATGAGGCATGCAGAATGGACACTCGGCCAAGATACTTGTTCATTCTCCAGCACATCGCTTGGTAGCAATCAGCAAAGCAAATCCAGACTAGTTTTCTTCCCCCTCCATAGACTGGGGACATTCAGGAGAATTACACCCACTCCAAAAAAGGGAATGTGATAAATATTCAAAGAGAGAAGGAAATTTTGCCTGGTGTCCTGGCTAGCAATCTTCCAGATAAATTGGACATTTCCATCATGGATGTGTTTGTGCGTTTGGGGGAACCTTGGGATTGGATGCTTTGTTTCCTTACAAATGCACAATCACTACACTTAACAGGAATTTCTAGTGAAGCACTTTGATTATTATAAGTGCTGTATCAAATGAAAGAAAGGCCTCCTTCTGTGCTGTAATTTCTATGATTATGGGTCTCACCGGTTCCATCTTGCACAAGTTCCTCAGACAATCCAACACCTCGACAGCACATCATGTGTTTTGTGAATTGTATTTCCATAACGCAGAGGTATTTAATACACTTTGTCTGTGCTGTTGTCATTTGCTGGGCATCGTCATCGAAATCTTCCATGTCAGAAATATTCTGGAGCTGCACATTAAAAACAAACCCTGAGATAAAACCCATCAATAAAAAATCAAAGTCACAAAATTAACTGCACCAGACACCCCAGATTCTGCAGTCCACTGACTTAAAAGTTAGTCATGCAAAATTTTAGGGAAAAAAAATCTTCCAAATTCAGAAACAGTTTTCCCAAAATTCCGTGTGATTTTAGTTTTGAAGACAATGGCTTAGGCTAAGCCCAGGAGGAAGTTCAGGCTTCCAGTGCCTGGAACTGCTCAGAGAGCAGATATCTGGGATGGATTCCTGTCCATTCACAAAAAGGGTTTCTGACCGCACACGAGCTAGCCATGTGCAAACTTGTCCTGTTATGAATTCTCTCCCTGTGATACCCATCTTTGCTTACAGTAATGATGTGACTGGACCATCCGTTGAAGCCCAGATAATAATTAGCGACTTCCTGACACTTGCTGCTGTTCAGAGTGAGTTTCTGTCCTTGAAAGCTGGGCCCTCTGTGCTGCTTTGTGCATATGCGAACCTGTGAAAGAAATAAACAAAGTCACAAACTAAAACCGAATTGCATTATGTTCAGCTTTGCCAAGAAGCATTACACTTGGATATGAAATTGTTAAAAACACAACACTGTCATTTCAATCATTCACAGATTCCTATGTAAAGGAACTGGGAGTTGCAGGAAGCAATAAGCACATTGCCAGGAGTGACTCAATACAATAATACCAGGAGTTAGTTCAAACCTTACTCTCAGCTGGGGCCTGTAAATGGGGTGGATTTCAGCTATTTCAGGATTCCTGAGGAGAAGAGGCTCTTCCACTTCTCAAATACATTTTGATGGGCAGCAGTATTCACGAAATCAAGAGGTCATGAGATCACCATATTGGTCTGGATGCTAAAGGCCCTTTGGCCTCATCTCTCCAGAATACCCACCCTACTGCGTGCCCATCACTGGTCCTTACCACCTGTTCCAATCGATAATTACTCTGACTAAAGAAAAAAATCCTAGTCTCTGTCCAGAAATTACCCTTTAGGACTCTAAGCCCGTGTCCTCTTGTTCTACTGTCATGACACATCCTAAAATATTGATATCAAGAATTATCTTCAAGCAGACTTTAATGATCCTGCAATTCTGAGTTTCTCCTGTGTCCTGGTCAAAAATCCTCCAGATCAGTGTCTCAGTCACTTCATGGATCTGTGTATAATTCTGCTATGCACTAAACCCAGTCACAAATAATAATCCCTCCAAAACCAAAACCAATAATAAATTGGTCATTTTCAATCTACGACTGTTTGTGGGACATTGCTGTGCGCAATTGGCTGCCGCGTTCGCCCACAAATATACAGTCAATTCACTTTACAGTGTGTTCTGTGAAGCGCTTTGGGACGTCCTCCGATGTGAAAAGCGCTATATCAAATGCAAGGATTATTATTATTATTATTTACTTCAAACATTTCATTCAGTACACTTGACACAACACGACTGTGAAATGCTTTGATATTTTGACTTCATGGGCAGTATGAAACCTTCAAGTCCATTTTTTTCTTTCTCACCTTCAAAGGCACTTCTTGGAACAAGCATCGTCCATGGGTGGCATCCCGGGCCCTGGTGGCATCCGAGCCCGAGTAAAACTTGACAACAGCATAGAAACCTGGCTGACAGCCGGCAGCATTCCTGAAGACTCGCACCAGGTACAACAACCCCAGTGCGGAGAACGCCTTGAACACAAGATCCTGTGGAAATAAGGAGTGTAGCAGGAAAATAACTTCCCGTCCCAGGCAGAGAATACTTGCTCAGCGTCTTGGAACGTCCTCACGGCGTGAAAGGCGTTATATACCAATGTAATTTGTTGTTGCGGTTGCCCAGGCTCTCGCCATACTTACATACACAGCCTCTTCGGATCGGTTGGGAAGAATGTTCCAGATGAACAGGGTTTTGTGATTTTCCATAGGCGTCTTGAAATCCAGGACCTCCGTGTCAGGGAGACTCATTGTGTGACACCAGGTAAAGCCCAGTCACAGTCACAGTGCTTCTCCAAACCGTTATCTCTTTCACTCCCTCTGTCTGTGTGTTACTCTGTGTGTGTGTCTCTCTCTCTCTCTCTCTCTCTCTCTCTGTGTCTCTCTCTGTATGTGTCTCCCTCTCTGCTTCTGTCTCTGTGTGTGTGTTTCTGTGTGTGTGTGCGTCTCTGTGTGTTCCTATGTGTGTGTGTGTGTGTGTGTGTGTCTGTCTCTCTGTGTGTGTCTCTGTTTCTGTGTCTATGTCTCTCTGTGTGTCGCTGTCTCGGTGTCACTCTGTGTCTGTCTGTGTGTGTGTGTGTGTGTGTGTGTGTCTGTGTCTCTCTCGGTCTGTGTCTCTCTCTCTGCTTCTGTGTCTTTCTCTGCCACTCTCTGTTCTGTGTCTCTGTGTGTATGGGTGTGTTTCTGTTTGTGTGTGTGTATCTCTCTGTGTCACTCTCTGTGTCTCTTGTGTGTGTCTCTGTGTGTGTCTCTCTCTCTCTGTCACTCTTTGTGTCTCTCTGTGTGTATGTGTCTCTGTGTATGTCTGTGTCACTCTCTGTTTCTGTGTGTGTGCCTCTCTCTACGTCACTCTGTGTGTGTGTATCACTGTGTGGGTGTGTGTCTCTCTCTGTGTCACTCTGTGTGTGTGTGTGTGTGACTGTGTCTCTCTGCGTCGCGGAAGCTGCGCTGTGATGACGCGGCGGCAGCTCGGAAGCCCCGCCCCCGACTCCGCCCTCAGCACAGCGCCGCCACCGACACAGAGCCACCGACACAGAGCCGCCGCCACCGACACAGAGCCGCCGACACCGACACAGAGGCACCGACACAGAGCCACCGACACAGAGCCGCCACCGGCACAGAGCCGCCACCGGCACAGAGACACCGACACAGAGCCGCCGCCACCGACACAGAGCCGCCGCCACCGACACAGAGGCACCGACACAGAGCCGCCGCCACCGGCACAGAGGCACCGGCACAGTGTGAGGGTAACACAGACCAATTGCCCACAGCGATGCCCCACAAACAGTGGTGAATCGAGTGAACAAAATCATTATCTTTTTGAAGGGATTATTTTGTAAATGATCCGTCACGAGAAAAGCTTTAGTTACTTCTGCACTTCAGGTCCCCTCTCAACTCTCCCCCCCTCCTCCCTCCCTCCCTCCCTCCCCTCACCCTGACCATTCCCCCCTCCTCCCTCCCTCCCTCCCCTCACCCTGTCCATTCCCCCCTCCTCCCTCCCTCCCCTCCCTCACCATTCCCCCCTCCTCGCTCCCTCCCTCCCCTCACCCTGACCATTCCCCCCTCCTCGCTCCCTCCCTCCCCTCACCCTGTCCATTCCCCCCTCCTCCCTCCCTCCCCTCACCCTGACCATCTCCCCCCTCCTCGCTCCCTCCCTTCCCTCCCCTCACCCTGACCATTTCCCCCCTCCTCGCCCCCTCCCTCCCCTCCCCTCACCCTGACCATTCCCCCCTCCTCGCTCCCTCCCTCCCCTCACCCTGTCCATTCCCCCCTCCTCCCTCCCTCCCCTCACCCTGACCATTCCCCCCTTCCTCACTCACTCCCTTTCCTCCCTCACCCTGACCATTCCCTCCTCCTCGCTCCCTCTCTCCCCTCCCCTCACTCTGACCATTCCCCCCTCCTCGCTCCCTCCCTTTCCTCCCCTCACCCTGACCATTCCCCCCCTCCTCGCTCCCTCCCTCCCCTCCCCTCATCCTGACCATTCCCCCCTCCTCGCTCCCTCCCTTCCCTCCCCTCACCCTGACCATTTCCCCACTGCTCGGGTCCTGACCCAACTGTCCAGCGCCTCGGGACATCCTCCCGACGTGAAAGGCGCTCTATAAATGCAATCTTGTTGTTGTTGTTGTTGTTGCACTTAAAAGAAAACCACACTCGCAGGATTGCTGGTAATTCTACAGATTCCTTTATTGAATAATGAAAGATAATATTTACAAATAGTAAATATTAATTCTTTTATCAGTTCCCAATAAGAGAAATATACACACGTAATTGTGAAATCCGATTTTTTCACAATTATGTATTTTGTACAACTAATTCCTGTTAAACTTTTTTTAAAAAACTTAACAGTTCATATAACTCTAGAGATATCTAAAATATCATACTGGTGTTGGATCTGTTGAGGAAAAGGAATGAATTTTGAGAGCTTCTATGTAACATTTGAGTGTTTTTATCCAGTTTTCCTCACTCTTTTGTCTATTACATTACACTACACAGTACAGTTACTCTCTGCAAAACGTTTGCAATTCATAACTTTCAGGTAGGTTTCAACTTTGTGCATATCCTTCTTAAAACAAGCCAGAAGCCCATAGTTTTTCATCAAAGCTTCATTGCTTCTTAGGTTTCCTTCGAACCGGTCATAGGAGAATTTCAGCGAGGCAAAAGCTTGAAAAGAACCTCCATCTTCCAAGACCTGGGAGAAATGGAATAAATTAAGTTTGCCGGCAGTTCCACTTGGTGAATATTTCTCAGAGAAATGTTAAATTTCAACCACTATGCCCCACACTCTGGAACACTATTCCTCTATCCCCCAGCCTTGCCCCTTCCTACTCCATCTTCACTTCATGCCTGAAGACCTTCCTCTTCGACCTGCCTATGGGTCACCTCCCCCCAACTTGGCATCATGCTCTGCCACTGTCAAGCGCTCTGGGACCCTACTCCGTATGAGGGGCACGATATAAATGCAAGTTGTTGTTGTAAATTGTAATGTCCACAGGGTGTTGTGGGCACCTGCACCCTTTCTCTTTCCGTTACCTATTTTTGCCAGAACTTTAAAAGCATGGAAAATGTTCCCTTCTGTTTTTGAAGGCTTAAATTGGCAATATATGGGCAAGTAGTTTTCAATCTCAGTCTTACAGAAGGAGGGTTGTTAATGTTACACCCCTGTTGTTTTCTATACTTGCCGTGGAAGCCACTGACATTGATGTTGAAGGCTGGACATTCTAATCTTTCACATTATAAAAATTATACCAAACGATTGTAAACACAATTAGTTTTCAATTTAAACCAGTGACGAAAGGATCTACAGTGGGTCATGTCTTGCACCTCAGTGGCCATACATACCTTCGTCAGAGCATAGATGCCTTCCTCCAGATCCCGCATTTTATCATAGACTCTGTCCGCGGTGCTGAACACTCTGCTCGTCTGAACCGAGTTGACCCAGGACTGAATAAGCAGCAGTGAGTACGCAAGAAGCTCTGTATCCTGTAGAGAGAGAAAGTTAGAAGCGTTGCAATTTTTTACTGTAAAAAACACTGTTATCTGGAAGTAAAGAGTAGGCAGACATCTAGTCATAGCTCTTTGACTGAATCTTTGCCTCGGCTAACTGTGGGACCTGCCACTGTATACATTGGGAGTTTACCGTTAAGATTTTACCGTTGGGATCGTATGAAATTGAGCATTACTTCAAATTAATGCGAAGATTGGATCTAACTGGACGACACCTGACAACGTTGCGATGAGAAGTTGAGCAGCCAATAGTTTACATTAGGTACAGTTTCCGTGGTTGTCTCGGTGACAGACAGACAGACAGACAGACAGAGAATTTGAGCTTATTGCAGTGGGTAAGGGTCCTGTTACCGATCGCTGCTGGGCATCCCCCTTGTCGGTGGGCGCAGGGAGGCTCTCAGACTGACAAGATACAGAAGCCGCGCTCTTGTGATAGTTACGCTTCTCTTCCGGGACATATTGTCTTTCCTGTTGGAAGAGAAACACATTGGGGGTAAGTTGGAGTTCGGGATTTTTCTACTGCTTTTAAAAAAAATAATTTCTTAATTTAGCTCGTTATTATTCTCTTACAAATTCTGTGTACGTCTCTGCGGCCACCAAATGCATGTACTGGGCTCTGTGAACAGCGTTGGACAAGAGGTCGGACAAAGGCAGCAGAGGGAAGGCTTCCAAACCTCGGCGACACTGCATGGAGAGCAACACCAGAGCCAGAGCCACAGAACACAGCGACAATCCTGAGGGAGAGAAAACAGCTGTCAGAAAACCACAGCCAAACCACGGTGGGAAGAGGTCAGAGTTAGAGCTGGGGCAAGGGAAGATGAGAAGAACAAAATTGATAATAATGATGCCTAGACTCAGGTTAGGACCAATCAGACACTTGAGGTTTAGGGTCACAAGAAAGAGCGCTTCCAGTAGTGTTGGCCACATCCATTCTTCACACGGAAATTATTGGATCAGGAGAAAAGCTCCTCTGGGGACCCATATTGTAGACTATCCATCAAAAAACCTAGACTCAAGACCCAACAAGAACGAAACTGCAGAATATTGGACTTTCATTAACTACAAATGTCTGAAACTGTGGTAAGGATGGCGAAAGGCATTAACCCCCCACCCCCACACACAAACACCCCTTCTCTCCCCTATTCTGATGATGGAAAAAAATTGCTTGGGATTAACCCAAAAGCGAGGAGCAAGGAAAGGTAAGTAAGGATGGTTCGGCACCTGAGGCCATCCTGAACTCAGTCAGTGTAAAGCGAGCGACTTTGCTTTGCACTTTGTCGGAGAGACTGAAGCAGTTTCACAACATCATTTCTCCCAACAGCCATTATTTATCCGTTAGAAATTCATACATAAATGTAAGGCCTCCTGTTGGTCGTGTAATATGCATCACATTCACCTCAGGAAAAACAAAATATTTTGCACGTTTTTAGATAAATAATGGGAAGAGGACATTGGCCCTCCCAAACCTCAGCTGTGAAACGCGATCCCTCGATGTGTTGGTGTGAGGTGTATTGGTGGCCACACGGTCACAATCCCAGGATATTGACAGCAAACAGGTTCTCTCGGTTTTGTAACCCGAGACAGGTACAAGCGGCCCTCGCTCACATGTTTTTATTAAGTGTTCCGATGAATTACCCCGACCGCCCAGTGTTTCAACTGTTTCCAAACGTCATGTCATCATAAACTGAACCCAACGCGGACTCAGAAGATGGTAAACATGTTGCTTAATTCCATTTGACAGGAGCAAAGCATGAATAAAAGGTAGAGAGAGAAGCTCTCGTTGTTCCGAGCCCGGCTCGTGTGTATGTCCTGTTAGCATTTTGACATTTCTAAAATAGCTCTGATCGAGTCCACAACATATGATCACCGGCCACGCGTCCCAGTCCCGGTCCCTCATCCCCAGTCTCTCTGTTTCCCGATTCCAAAGTGCAAAAAACAAGTGAGATCCGTGATAAACTTTACCGCGACATCTCTCAGTCACTGACCTGGATTTCACGCAGCTTGGAGGTTTCAGACCCATTCAGACCAAATATATATGGGATTTAACAGAAATTAAATGGAATTATAAAGGAAGATGCTGGGTTGGAAGACGTTTATGCTTGGAAGCTGTATAACATGTATAGAAAGCAGGGTGAGGGCGATTATCCATCTGTGTAGAAGCTGGTTAACAAAGTGACTACACCATTTAGGCTTGAAGAGCCTCTCTGATGTATATACATTGCTAAATGTGGTTGAGGAAGGAAGCGCAAACCAATAGTTGCAGATAGGCTTACAGGGTTCAGGGGCGTTTGAAGGGCAAGATTAGGCCAGAATGGGAAGAATATTTCTTTGTATGATTGGACGGGTTTGTGGCCAAGAAAGTGGACTCATTTAAGAACCAGCTTGTTGCTGGAATGTGAGGCGGGTAGGGTGGGCATTCGGGAAGTGTTCATTTGTCTGCGGCCAAATGTTCTGGAGTAGCAATGGCTTTATGCTGCTGGAGTTACGGAAATATCTAATATTGTGGTGGATTGAGGCGGGTTTGCTTGGGCACCTTATTAGTTAGGGGATCATTTAGACGCTTTAAGAATGGAAGGGTGTGTGTGTGGGGGCGGGGGCAGTGTTTTCGACTTGAATATAATTACTTTTGTAGTTTTGTGTATGCAGTTCAGCTAACCAGCCCGACGTTGTAAATACTTATATCTAAATAATCTTGCAGACAATCTGTGTGCGTGCACCAATTTATATGCGTAAGTCCAATTGCAGCAGATAGATTTACGTGAAGATTTCTACAGATGAGCCGGAACTTGTGGGCAGTTTTCGTAATTGAGTCAGACCTCTGAAACTGAATGTTTTTTTCTATTTTTATTATAATTCATCATTTATTCCAAAACATAACCCCTACGTACTTTAAGCCGTGCATTTTAAGCGCAACTAATTGTGAATTTAAGGTTTTGAAATAAGATGTAAACCTAAAATGGAGTCTTATGATATTATACATTTCCGAACTCAGGAGCTCTCCAACTTAATCCCATTCCCCGGCTCTTCCCTATCATGTATGTGTTTGTGCTAGTTTCCCCACTGGAGCTCCCAAGTTAACTCTAATCCCAGTTCTCCCTTTCCGCATACTCTTTCAAATTGGGGTCCGAAATACAATATTTGTATTTGTACGTGTAGGTATTCGTTGCGTCACCCTGGGCTGGAATTGGCCACACAGTCCACACAGCATGGGAGGGCAGCGTCCCCAACGTTATTTTTGGCGTTTCTCTTTCAACCTTTACCTTTTTATTTACGAAACACAATAATTGGAAATTACACACACGCACAATTACAAAAAAAACATTCACTGAAAGCTGCTTCCTGCTCATACATGTAGATGGATTGGTTGGCGGGGGGCACTTACTAACGAAGGCAGCACCTGACTTGTTCCCATTCGAGGGCAGTCAAACGCCTTCAGAATCAAACTAACTTATTTAATACATAGAAAATCCTCCAACAGCTCGCCCAGCGCACTCGCGTACTTACTGAGAGCGCCCATGTGTTGCTGAGGCGAGACTGTGGCACCTGTTTATTCCAAGACCATGGTTCCACGCTACAAGCGGCTGGCTGAGATGACATGGACCTTTAAGGAGTCCTGTACAATGGGCTAGCCATTTACAGACCGAACACCTTCCTTTTGTTTTATCACTTAACCTGCTTTTTATAAAAAAAAATTCTCATAAAAAATACGGGCATTTGCATGTTGCGCGTCTCTGGGTGTCTGGGCCACAGGTGGTCGGCAATGTGACATCATGGGCCAGTGACAGTGATCTCACAGCGCTGTGAAACCTGTCCGGCTGTTTAGCTTAACTGATATAAAGTGGACTTCAAAGCCAATATGGGGGAAATGTTCTATCGGTTAGACACAAGTTGGTAATCTCGGCAACTGTGCTACTTTTCGTTCTGGTAGTAATGGCTGAAGATTCACCGTTGCAATGTTAGGGAAATACTTTGAGACGAAATTCCCAGCTGCCACAGGAGGGGTTGCTGAAGATCCATTGTCTCCCAGTCTCTAGGAATTCGTGTAAATTTGTGCAAATTCAGGTACAAGTCGAGACAGACCATGTTATTTTAGACTATTCACAATTCTAATTCTGGTGTAAGTGGTCAAGAGATCAATTAAAATTACTGTATATGCGATTGAAGGTTTTGTGATGATCTGAAAAACTGTCTTGGTGGTTTGAATGGCCGCCTGCTCTATGTTCCTTAAGGAATTAGGTAAGCAGGATGCATCCCTCCAGGGAGACAGTTCGCATTCCATTACAACAAACTATCTCTGGGATTTCCATGCGTAGATGGGATGCATAGAATTCTCAGCTTGGTTTGGAGACTTTTAAACATGGTGATGGGTTTAAGCATGTATCAGGCACCAGGCTGACAAAAAAAATCCTTATAGAATAGACTGACTGAGGAGCTGGCAGATAAACAGCCTAAATTCAACCATCCATCATTTGCTAGCAGTCTGCATAAGAGGAGACAATGATAGAATCTACCTCTAGTCTAAGCTTATATTATTGATAATCCAATGCTGAATTTGTAGTCTTGTGACTAAACTTCTAACTCAGTTATTTATACAGTGTGTGATATATACAGAGTCTGAGGCTCTCTACTGATGGGCTTGGAAGTGGATCACAGTGTCAGTGGTGGTCAGGACATCTGTAAAGTTTCACATCTTGTACAATTATATGATCTACAGTGAAACCTAGAATCCGCTGATGATACAAAACAGCACAACTGTCTCAGAAAGTCACTAAATCCATCTCCTCACCAAACTCCCCACCTGTGTTATTGGGAGGCATGATATTGGGAGGTATGATCAACAGCTGGTTAAAGGTTCCACTATCCATTTGTACCATTTACTCAGAGCCAGCTGTGAACCACCCCCAAACTCTGGCCATTTTGTGCCCATAATGGCTCTTGTTTCAATGATATTGTTAGTGCTGTGATCACATCAGCCGAGAACTTGCTTGTGAGTCCGTGGTGAGGTGGCTATTTCCGGGGCTGCTCCCCAGTTGACATTTTCATGTCCATAAGTCTCACGTTGCCGATGTCCTCATACATGGCTGCCTGCAGAGCGTCCAGCCCCTGAAACACAATGACATAGTGCCTGCTGATACTGAAGGGTTGCGTGTGAATTTGTTATGGATTATTATCTATAATAATAATAATCCTTGCATTTTATATAGTGTTTTCACGTCTTCTAGATGTCTCAAAGCACTTCACAGAATATACCGTAAAGTGCATTGACTGTATATTTGTGGGCGAAATGCGGCAGCCAAATTGCACACAGCAGGGTCCCCACAGCATCCCCACAGTCGTGAATTGAAGTGACCAATTTATTATTTTTTTTCTTGAGGGATTATTATCAGGCGTGTGGAGTAAGGAAACTTGCCCAAGGTTTCACCCTGCCAGGAATCGAACCCAGGTCTCTCGCTTGAGAAGTGAGTTCTCTAACCACTGAGCTCCAGGACTCCACGATTTGGCGAACAAGAGGATTGAGCGATAAAGAGCAATGACATCACTGGCTGGATTTCACTAGTTGGGAATTGGAGTGTATGATCCCTGGAGGTCACTATAGGACAGAATGTAGAAGCGAGGAGATAATGGGTTTTTACAACTCAACACACCCTGCCAATATCTCTGGCTAGGCTCCAATATCTCACGGCCCTAAATTAATTCCCAAATCGCTTGTCACATCCTACACCCCACTGCGCACAGCTTTACCCTGGAAAAACGTTATTTTTCTGTACCTCATACATGTGGTCCATGCCCTCCTCCTCCTGCTCACCCTCCTCACCGTGGTCCTGGGAAACAAACATATGTTTTGTCATATGGTAAATTGTGTGACCGTTTTCTTCCTCGGCCCCAAACGGCAGCCCTGATTCCCGGAGAGAAGGACTTACCCTGGTAAAGAGCAGCAAGGCTGGTAACGAGAGGCACAGCATCAACAGCACACCCTGGACCACAATCAATATGTCCTTCATGAAGTACTTGCTTTTCAAAGTCTCCAGATCCAAGGATTCTGAGAGCAGAGGCACACCAAACATTTCATAAAAAGGAACATGGTTCTTCACTTGTTAGACTGATTACATCAGGTGACAGTCACTACGTTGACAGCCGGGTAGGTGAACTACCCATTGCTGGTAGCCAATGGCAGGTTGGATTCCTCCCTGTTTGCTATCCTGGCAACTCGTTTGTTTATCTATGTACAGAAATTCCATTGATACTCAAAGCCAATCAAGCACAAACTCCCAAATTGCCATCCATCTCAACTATCATTAATGTGAGATAATGAGGTCTGTCATTTGGTTTCCTATGACAGAATGGGCACTTGGCACATTCACTCACTTCATATAAAGTTTCTTGAAATTTTTTTTGTTAGAAATATTAACATTGAAAGCAAATCTCCAGCACTTTCACAAACACAGCTGAGCTGAGAAAGGGACTTTCTCTAAACTGAGAAACCCAGTTAGATCTGGTTCAGCTCTATTACACACTGTTCCTGGATGTCTGGCTAAAGAAATTAATTCAGAAATTTGGAAGCAGAATTTGCTGTCGCATCTGTTTGGGTGTATAATTTAATAGTGTATTCACTGTGAAGCTGCGTAGTTCCTAATGAAATGTCAATCTGCTTTTGACCGAGAAGTAAATCCTGTGAGTCAAATGGTTCCAAGCTTCATTTTACACTGAGAAACACAAGCCCTCGCCATGCTCACTTACCGTCCACCACATTCAGTTCTATTCCACACCGAGTTTTCTGAGTTCTGACCGAAGCCATCTCACAGAAGTATGTTCCACTGTGGCAAGGTTTGGCTTCTGTAAACTTCAGGTAGAAATGGGGTTTCTTATGGTATGTTGTTATCATACCATTACAATTCAGTTGACTGAGTGATTTCCTCGGTGCCTGGTACCATGTGATGGTGTCGTTTAAGAAGTGTTGCATGTCTGTGGAGCATGTCAGCACTACAGTGCTGCCTTTCTTGACTGCTTGGTAAGGCACCGGGTAATGCATTCTCGGCTCTGCACACAATGCCACTGTAATTATAACAGATAAAGTATCACTTCCATTATAAGTTCCTCTTTCTCCCTCCAGACACAATTGCTCTCAACGGGGGGAGGGGGGAGAGGGGGGGAGATGGACCACGAGCAGAAGAACCACACTGGCCTCATTCTAACTATCCCAAAGCTTGCCACTTTGCTTAGAACGAATGACTAGTTAATAGTTGGCCTGAGGGACAGTGCGTTGGCAGATTGACCGGGCCCAAGTTGGGAGTTGGGCTGTGTGTGCATAAGAATGTTTCAGAGGCGGTCTCTGGAGAGTGAAATCCTGGCTAATTTTTTTCTCCCCATCTTAGAGTGCCGAAGTCAGACGAAACCTGCAGCCTTCTGATCTGTGATTCATTGAGCCTTTGGAAGAATTCGCATCAGTTATGTAAAAATTCTGTGTATCTCACATCTCAGTTCTGAGAGCTGGACAATCTGTGACTTCTAACTGCTGCCCTGATTGTCAAAGTAGGGCCACAATGAGATGTGTGGCAGAGTCTTACATAGAAGACAGTGCTCAAGATGCTACAGGCTTTTTGTTGAAGGCAGCAAAAATAAGCTTCACCCAATCAAAGTGAGCAGGTCCCAGGAGTGATAAAAACTCTGACTTGAGCATCTTGATGGCCTCTGTACACCTTCCCAGCATTCAGACAGTCAGCACCAAACCGCTTCCTCTTTTTTCAATGGACCAGAGTAACTGTTTACTGAGCTGTGGTGAACTAAAATCAGAAACTGCTATCTTTTCGAACACAACCCGCAAAACACAAGTGAAGAGCTCAGCATTTGCAGCGATAGCGATGATGCGAAACACTTATTTGCATCAGAAACCTGTTTTTCCCTTACAGTCCTTTCTTTCAATAGTTATTGATAATAATAATAATCCTTCAATCTTTACAGCGCTGTATCACGTCTTCAAGACGTCTCAAAGTGCTTCACAAGACATAGTGTAAATTGGAATGATCTAACCTAACAATTCCTGCTCCAACAAAGATCATACACCATAGAGCATGTGCAACTGTTAGTAATTAGGGATGAAGTTGGTTTTGATCAATGTGAAGTGTCTATGAATATGGCTTAAGTTGGTTTCAGGATGCTCCAGGCTTGGAGCCCAGTGCAGGCAACCTTCGAAATCCCACCACTCGACCCTCATGGGGAAGGATGTCAATGTTGCTGGTGAATTCTTTGTTTGGGTAGGAGCTGGAATGAAGGAAAGCCTGACACAAAATACTCTTGAGATTATTTATAATTAATGCTTAAATTTTCAATCCTTGTTTGGACTGGAGTTGCCCATGTCTGCTGGTGGAGCAAGACATCCTCTGTGAGAACTCGGTGTTCTACCTATTACTTAAGGGGTTTTAACACTTATTTCTGGCGAGAGTAGAGTGAGAAAATGGAGCCCATCCAACCACAAACGCTCTTAGGCTGGGGAGCAAGTTAACACACCCCAGTAGACAGACTGGATATGAATCAGAGACTGGAGTATTGTGTTTGCTTTCTTTTATCTGAGAAAGGAATTGTGAAGGGAACAGATTGACAGTGGGGAGACATTGCAGAGAAGATTTTCTTTTGAAAATACACTTTAAAAAGATTTCTTGGTTGCTCACCACAATTGACACGTTTCCACACAAAGCCAATGTACCAAGTATCCACCTGTTTCTACCGCCACAAAGCTCATATCCCAGGCAGTGGTTTCACTTAGGAAAGCGAGAGATTTGCAGTCGAGGGAGTTTGCTCGTTCGGCGCTTTCTGGACTGTATTTGTTTTACCAACTTCCACACGTTTGGAGTTTCAGACAGAACTTTTCAATGTTTAAAATAAATATTTGGATTGAAAGCTCCACCTGAATGCACCAACTGAGACGATTTAGAGAGAGAGAGAGAGAGAGACACACACAAAGAGCCAGCGGGCGGGAGAGAAGCTCACAGCAAATAATACACGTCAGTAACTGCAAACGAAACATACTCAGCGCCTTGGCTAATGTCTCCCAGCGTCGTCTTTTGACTGAGTTAAATGACTGTAATTTAAGACAAGAGTCAGAGACCAGGGCACATTGCTGTGGGTGCGCTCTCGGCATCTCAGTCATCACATCACGTAAGGTGGTCACTTACCATGTGTGAAGGCCAAGATGACCAGGAGGCGGCTGGGACCCTGGAGGGATGTTTCGGTACAGAAAGCCATGATCTAACGAGCTGTAATGGCAGCAAAGAGCGTCTGTCTTCTTGGGTACAGAAGTTCAATCTCAGCCACAGTCACCCGAAATTGGGACCCAGTGTCTCACCCTCCTCGCCTATTGGTGAGTGAACTGTGGCCAGTTAGCGTTCAATCTTTTTGCGATTTCCGTTGTTATTAATTTTAGGCACTAACAGGAAACCCGTGGTCCCCAGCCATCATCCATTCTGTGACTGCAGTAGTTTTGTCTATTTTTTTTCTCTCTGGCTAGCCATTGACTGAAACTTTAGCATGGTTCAAACTTTTAAAGCAAGTTTTACATTTTATAAGTGAAGTTCTTTTTAAGAAGATTCTTACTTTACAAAAGATATGTTGTTATTAAGTGAAAAGTGAAGGAATTTCAATGTCTCAGATTGCTGTTTGCGTTAATTCTCGATTGCATTTCCCTGGGCTGAAGTGACCTCCAATATTGGAGTAAAACTTTACAAGAACAGCCACATTTCAGAGCAACAATGTTTACACAGAGAATTTTCATCTATTGCAATGTCTGTGAGAGATCATTAAGAACATAAGAATATAAAAATTTGCTAAGTGAAAGAACACCAAGGTTCATCTAGTTGGCCATCCACCATCTTGTCAGTCACTTGACATGTCATGTCCCAACAACAACAACAACAACAAGATTCCATTTATAGAGCGCCTTTCACGTCAGGAGGACGTCCCAAGGCGCTGCACAGTTGGGTCATGACCCGAGCAGGGGGGAAATGGTCAGGGTGAGGGGAGGGAGCGAGGAGGGGGGAAATGGTCAGGGTGAGGGGAGGGATGGGAGGGAGCGAGAAGGGGGAAGAGAGTCGAGAGGGGAGCTGAAGGCTCGGTCAAAGAGAAAGGTTTTGAGACCGGCCTTGAAGGAGGAGAGGGAGGAAGCAAGGCGAAGGCACTGGGGGATAGAGTTCCAGAGCCTCGGGGCTGAGAGGCTGAAGGCCCGACCACCAATGGTAGGGCGATTGGGGCGGGGGACGTGGAGCAGACCGGAGCCGGAGGAACGGAGGGTACGGGCAGGTAGGTAGGGGGATAGTAGGTTGGAGAGGTAGGAGGGAGCGAGGCCGTGAATGGCCTTGTAGGTGAGGATGAGGATCTTGAAATCAATCCACTGGGGGATGGGGAGCCAGTGGAGGCGAGCGAGGGTGGGAGTGATGTGGTCGCGGTGTCTGGTGCGGGACAGTACACGAGCTGCAGAGTTCTGAATGACCTGCAGCTTGTGGAGGGAGGTGGCGGGAAGGCCGGCGAGGAGAGAGAGTTCCCATAGTCCAGCCTTGAGGTGACAAAGGCGTGAACCAGGGTTTCAGCAGCGTGAGGGGTGAGGTAGTGCCGTAATCTGGCGATATTCCGGAGGTGATGGAAGGCGGTGCCAGTTGTGGTGCGGATGTGAGGGAGAAAGGACAGCTCAGGGTCGAACAGAACGCCGAGGTTCCTGACTGGCTTTGAGAGGTGGAGAGTGCAGCCTTGGATGCTGATGGTGTCGGCGCCTGAGGTGCGGAGGCGCTGATGCGAACCAATCAGGAGGGCCTCGGTTTTTCGCACATTGAGCTGAAGAAAGTTGTCTCTCGTCCAGGACTCGATGTCGGACAGGCAGCTGTCAGGACATCGGTGGTCGTGGAGTTGAGAGTAGAGGAGGAAAGGTAGAGTTGGGTGTCATCCGCATACATGTGGAAGTTAACTCCATGTCTGCGGATGATGTCACCAAGGGGGAGCATGTAGAGGGTGAAGAGGAGGGGACCGAGGACAGAGCCCTGAGGGACTCCACATGACACAGTACGGGGGGTGGAGGAGAAGCTGTTCGTCGAGACAAAGTGAAGACGGTGAGAAAGGTACGACCTAAATCACTCAAGGACAGTGCCTTGAAGGTTGAGGTGGGAGGACAAGCGGTGGAGTAGGATAGCGTGGTCGACCGTATCGAATGCTGCCGATAGGTCGAGGAGGACGAGGAGGCAGAGGGAGCCCTGGTCACAGATGGTCAGGATATCATTGGTGACCTTGACCAGGGCAGTTTCTGTATATATATATTATATATATTGTACCTATACCTATACAACCTATATATTGTAATCATTCGTAAGAAGCCCCTTCAGCATGTTTGATATCATACTTCCAGAACACTCACTCCATGGCCTTCCATCAATCAGACAGTGTCCTGGCCTGAGACATGTCCCTGTAACTCTCTACTCCTTAATTACTTTGTGTTACTAAATACTTACAGGTGTTTGCCCTAAATTTGCCTTTCCACCCTGAACCCGTGCAATTTTATTCTGCTGCCTTAGAATGTCATACATTTATTTAATTGTTTTTTCCTCTCTGAAGCCTCTGGTTTTGAATTTGAAGAATTTTAGTTTTTGCGGTGGTGTCCTCTAACATTTGGGCTTCTGGTCAGCAAACTCTCACTCTGGCCACCAGCTTCTCTAACCTGGTCACCAGTCTCTCTAACACAGCTCAGTGAAGAATGCCGGCTGGCCCCGTGATCATATTGCCCACTGAAGTGTTACACTGAGAGCTGCCACCTGTTTTCGAGAGTGTTTGTTCCACAACAGCTTTCTTACGGTAAGGGGTGGAGGTGGTAGGGGGGGAGGGGGTTCGGAGGGAAGGGAAGGAATTGAAGCCTCCCCATAGTCGAGCTCCAGCTGTAATGAAGCTCCTGCGTGGAGAGAAAGAGAGACATTTAAATTCTGTGCTGCATCAATCAGGTCAGATCATTGTGCAATTGGAGAGCAAAGGTTTAATGTAAGGAAAGTGGTCTCTGCGTGCCCAGGAGCTCACTCAGCCCTGCTCTGCTCCTTGTGCCTCAGGTAGTGAGTTAACCCACAGAATGAGAACCATGTGGATTAGAACATAAAAACACAAGAATTTGCTCGGCGAAAGAACACCAAGGTCCTCCATCCAGTTCGCCTTCCACCATCCTGGCAGTCGCTTGACATGTCGTGTCCCAAACTGTACACATTGTGATGGATGGAGAAATCCAGTCTGTTGATTGTTTATCCTGATAGATACTTAGCTGCTGAATGTTAGCCGAAGCCTGCGGAAGTACATTGTTTTGTGTGAAGTGTTACTTCTCTATTGATTAACGCCACACATCAGCTGAGAGTTGTGCCTCCGGATCGGCTGCGATGCGATTGATCCCCACGTGGTGGCGCTGCGTCGCTTGAAAACCAACCAGTGGCGGATTCCAAGGTTTAAAGTTCACGGGACTTCTCAGTTTTAACATTATAGATTGTGCAGAATTCTGGAAAACTATTGATCTGCAAACCCGTTTATCACAGTTCTACTCTATCACAGCCTGGGGGACCTGTATCAAACATTAGATTAGACCGCAGTTGGAGTGTTGGGTCCATTTCATACAGCGGGTGCAGAGGGGATTTACAAGGATGTTACCAAGGATGAGTGGTTTAACCTATCAGCGCAGACTGAAGGAATCTGGTGTATTTTCACTGGAACAGAGAGATTTGAGGGGAAGATTTTTAAAATGATGAGGGTTTTTGATACGAGTAGACAGGGAAAATTATTTCCCCTGGCAGGTGAGTCAACGACAGATTACCTTTATATCATGCCTTTCACCTCAGGAGAACGTCCCAAGGCCCTGGCCTCCTGACATGAGTCAGTCAATAAAATAGGATCGATTTTATATTGTTAATAAGGAAGTAAACGGGGGAGGAATTGTTTTTATACAGAGAGTTGTTAGGATGCATTGCCTGGTGCTTGATGGGTTGCCCATTGTTTTGAATGAAAATCGAAGTTAGCTTTAGAGCTTGTTACAGTATCTAAATAGTAGTGATTTACTGGCGTGAAGGAGGAAAGGCAGGACTAAAAGGATTGCTTTTTCAAAGAGCTAGCACAAAGAATGATTCTGTGCTGTTTTCAGCGGTGCTTTCACCTTTGATTTCCTTTATCCTTTCTATTGTACTCGAATTAAAGACGAGCATAAGCACATTCTGACTGAAAGCATTCTCACCATGTCGGCTATTCGTGACTACTTAATTTGCTTTTCAGTTGGCAAAGGTTGAAACTACCATACAGACTGGAGACCAGCACATTTCTCTTTCCTTCGTTGATTCCAACCCCACTTCCCGGTTCTAACTTATTATCGTGCTACAGTGTGCGGCATCTGTCAATCTCAGCATTCCCTTCCTGGGATTTGTTCAGGGGCTTGTTATTTATTGAAATATTTACACGTTTAACTGGATAGAGAGAGAGTGGGCGGGAAGGATTGACCCCTGTGCTATCCTCACACGGCAGAGCAGACGTGCAATGTGTCAACATTGCGCTGGAAATGCACAAAGTGACTTGTTAGGCCGCAGGGCCTTCTTCTGTGCTATTAAAACAATGGAACACAGACGTACAGCAAAACAACACATTTAATGAGATTCAACCAACCACAGGAAGTTCTGCAGCAGTTCAGCTGCAAATCTAAAATTATTTCTATGTTCTTCCTTCCCCGCCTCCACCATGAATAAGACTGTATAGAATTTAGCACCAGGCTAAATAAATATTCTGTTTTTGCTGGGAGGATTTCTTTGCCCGAGTGAGTTGTAATTTGACCTGCTACTCAGCGAGACTGACTCTGAGGAATTGAATCCTCGGCCGGACACTCTGTTGGACACGCTCGCAGTCTCGTGTCTGTTTCTATATAGGAGTGAGGACAGATTGTGATCAAACTCTCACTTAGCTCATCATTGAGTGTGCATAGCTATGGGGTGGGGGTGGTGGTGGGGGGGATGGCGGAGGAGGGGAGGGGAAAAGCTCAGTAGCTGAGTTGAGGATTGAATATTCTGCAAGTTTTGCTTGAAAACTTCGAGGATCTACCTTGGAGTCCCTCCACTTTGCCTCCTCCCCTCCCCAGCTACAGACCAAAATAATGTTCGCCTACAAAATACAGTCACTACACTTTACAGTATAGCCTGTGAAGCACTTTGAGACAACCTCCTGACGTGAAAGATGCTATGTCAAATGCAAAGATAATTTTATAATGCTATCTCTCTCAGATTGTGCTCTGGCTACCTCCCCCATCGCTTCTCAGCTCCATCCTTACCCCA